AATTTCTGAAACCTCTTTCGTTTGGCACCAATATGGTGATATATATTTCTCTTACCTGATATGATTTTTTAAACAGGTGGCAACATTCCTATAGTTCATCTAAGAAACAAAACTTTTCAAAATCATTTCGATTGATACCCATTTTGTAATAATTGATTTATTTTTTTAAATAATTTGAATATAATTTTTCAAAAAGTGACAACTCTTTTAAAAAAAGTAAAACCTTATTGCACATACAGTCCAAGCCTTTTAATTTGAGACCTCATTTCGGAAGATCGAACGAACGGTACGGACATGATGGTATTGGTTATTAAATAATTTGAGTTTAATCGTTCATCAAAACTAAAACCAGTTTGCACATCTAGAGACCAAGCGCTTTATTTTTATTTTTTTTTTTTGTATTTACATACTCTTGCGCCGATGTCACGGTTAGCCCTTTAATTTGACATCTCATTTTTGAAAATAGAACGAACGGTACAGATATTTTGTCCTGGACAAAAATCTTTTAGCGTATTATATATAAAAATAATCTGGAACAGAGGCTGGATTCTGTAACCGTGAGTTTTCAAGTGTGCACTGCAAGTTGTGTATACTCTTCATTTCGCGATTCAAGAACTGAGAGAGTTTTTGGTTTTAAGTTTTGCACTCAGTGTACACTGCATTTTTACATAGTTACAGAAACCATCCCCAGGTATCAAATTCTGTAGATCTTTGAATCACAAGGAATTCTAAAGTCATTTTTAATCTTCATTTTAATGCTACAGTCAGTGAAGCCAAAGGCGTATTTGTATTTGTAAAGCGATGGCCAAAATAATTTTGCGAGCCTTATATTACCAAAGGTTTTTACAACTTTAGTTAAACCAGTGTTAGAATGCGAATCTATTGTTTGGAATCCCCAATAGCAAGTATATTCCGGATGGAATAAATTTAAAAAATCTTATTTTTTGCTTTTTTAGATTTCCGTTGGAGTTCAGAGTTCACTTCTTACTCTAGTCGCCCACACCTCACTTTTCTGCATTCACTTGAAAGTCGAAGAGAAATGCTGGGTATAATATTTAGCGTTATATTAATAACAGGCTTGATGTAAACCCCGTCCCTTCTGGTAAACCTTAGAATTCTATGTCGAGTATCAAGTAACTGCTGTCGTTGGTTTTTAAAGCCATGAAAAACTAATTTTGAATTGTTTGTGCCAGGAATTTAATTCTCCAGCACGTTTGACATATCTGACCCGCTTTTCACCGCAAATGGAACTATGTGTCCTCTCTCAATAAATGATATAATGTCTTTAACATAATATTACAGCTGATGAATTGAGTTCTGTAGCTGAATAGTTTTAGAAATCAACACTTAAGCGCTTCTCAAAACTCGGCACAAAAAAGAGAGGTTCCTTCCTCATGAGGACTGTGCTACTGCGTGTTGGTTGTACGGGAGGTGGGTAAAGCCGTTGGGATATTTTCGGAAAATTCTATATAGTGGTTATTTGTTATTTTCAATTTTTTTGTTATTTCACTTGGAAGTATTTGTGCAACAGTTTTACCGAAGCATTGGTTAGTATCTACATATCGCACATTTGCTGCGGGAGTGTCACAATACAATTTCAGTATGCATAAATTACCGCTACATGTTCTTCAATGTAGTGTAAAAACTTCATAGCTGTACCGATTACCAGTAGATTACCAGAAGAAAGTATGTATTTATTTTGAATATCTGTAAATTCAAGATTTTAAGGCTGTTTTTTTAGTTTTTGATTTTTTTAGATTATGACACTCCTGCAGCAAATGTGCGATATATATTTACTTTGAGCTTCGATAGAAGGTATCGTTTTAACACTCATCGGGATCAAATTGTGTAACATCTTTAAAATTTTTTTATCGTGCACGTTTCCTATGTAATATGAATATACTTGCACACAAACGAACACTTGGACAAACGTTCCCTGCCAAGCGATTCAAGAGGATATTCAAATTTATTTTTTTTAATTTTATATTTTTCTTCAATTTTGCGTTTTTCCGATTATGTACAGCATACATCAATACTTTGAATTAAATTTATGTGTATTGACTTACTCTATATTTAAGTAATATTTAATGTTAAATACTTGCCATTGATTATTACGTATGTGTGGATTTTTGTTGCTGCATTGTTAAATCTAGTTATACCTAAGTATGTATGTATATATTATTTCAAGTGTTTAGTATCGTATGCGCTGTTGTATGCAATATATGTATTTAGGTAAGTATGTACTTAGACACACAAATCTAATTCTTCATTTATTATATTTTACGTATTTGAGTCGATTTGTATGTTTCTGATAAAAGTTATCAGATAAGGGAAGATTTCACTTCCAGATTTATTATATCCATGGATCTATGTATTTGTATTTTTACTACGTATTTTGTTTGCTTGTACATATAACACATTTTTGTTTTTTCAAATACTCAAAATAAATCAAAATGTTTTTTTAGATGTGGATTAGCACATAGGCTGGAAAAAATTATACTTATTTAAGTGAAAATATGCGGTTTAAATACACATTTAAGGAGCATAGTAAGTAGGGATAAAAAACATCATAAATAAAAGCTTTGTAGGCTGCGCTTTAAATTATATTGCTGGGAAAATAGCTTCTAGTTATGAAACCGAAACCAAAGTTCGTTGAAAATGAGGTAAAGAAGTTTTGTGTGTGAACTCAAGAACAAATAAATTAAATAAAAAGCAAGATGTATTTTGTGTTTTAAAAAATTTTAATTGCATGTTCGCACTCATTTTTGTTCTTTTATAAAATCGCATAGAGTTGTAATACAATGTTTTGCGTACATTTTAAATTTTCTCCATAAGTAAGAATTTATTTACATATGTTTGTTAGTTAAGTAAACTAAATGATTATCTCAAACCACATAACTAAACTAAGTAACAAGAATCAACTAAATCTTACGAAAATTCGCGATAACCATACAATTCAAACACAATTAAACTTTTCATGTAGCTTAAAAAATCCTAAGTGAAACAGCTTTTAAAATAACAAAAGTACTTTTTAATAAAACAAAATTAGTGAAAATAAATTGATTTAAAGCAACACAAACAAGTGGAAGCGAAAAGTGGATAGTTCGTAAACTAGAATGAGCTTTTCAAATGTGGTTCACGAGTCTTTAATTTTGGTTAAGAGTTACAGGCATGCTTTCAAAACGTAGCTTCTTAATCTCTTTCATAGTGATCACTGAGACTTTTGAATTTAATACCAAAAGGGTGTTGGTTGACATTCTCTAGCAATGACTGGGTTACACGGACTCCTGTAAGAGTGTAAGTATGTATTTATAAATTGTATATTTTTATCTATTTGAGAAAGCATTTATGTAACCGTTGAAATTATTCCATACTTAGTGATTTGTTTCTGGGGTTGCTTAGCAAACTGAAAAACGTTTCACTGCGCTCGTTGGTGTGTACATATAATTTAAACCAATTAAAGTACTTTTCTTAATTTTTTTACGTGATTTTAGTATTTTTGCGCTATACTGTGTGTATTTTTGTAGTTGATAAATATAGTTAAGTATTATTAGGATATTTTTATAGTAAATAATATATATCTGTATGTATATCTCTGTATAGTACCTTTATACTGGGCCTTATTTCTAATACGTATGTTGTGAGATTGTTTGATAACCAATTGCTTTTTAGTTTTAAGTTTAACGTATTTAAATAATACATGCTACCGGACGCATCTTTTAATGAGTCAATGAAGCAAATAAAGAAGTCGCACATTTCTGCGGGGAGGCTTAACGTTACTTGCTACAAATGTTTATAAAACATTGTTTTGAGCTACATATACTTGTACATACATGTGTGTAGTCGGTTATTTTTTAGTTGTAAAAGTTTAATCATATAAAGTTGTAAGCTTTAAGATTAGTCACTGGCGAATATAAAGTTTTTGTTTGCTTATTTGTTTTGTGTACGTATTTGTTGTTTAGTGGCCACGCTCTGAGGATCGCTAGACCCTCGCAACCAACAGTTTATCAAATTAATGTTTATTAAAATATCGAATAACAATTACCAATTTATAGAATTATGTAGTTATTCTTTATCAATAATGAGATTTTAGTTGCCAACGAGTTACGTTGCATTACCTAATGGTACACACAGAAGTTAACATTAATTATTACTCATATTTAGGGCATACTTCTTAATTATTTTTTATCACTATAATATGGCATTGGAGAGAAGATTATAGAAAAATCATATTTTCCTTGAGATTAATAAAATAGTGAGTGCAGACGATGGAAATTGATAGCATGACATCTTTTTATTAACATTTGTTGTATTTACTTTGCAATTTTAAAGCTTCACTATCCTCAAAAAACTTTTCTCGGTACAGAACCTTTTCGTATTTAAAAAATTTATCTTGCTTATCAGTTGAAATCGATTTTAAAACTTTCGGTATTATTCCTTTTCTGAAGGAGTTGGACGAGCTAACTAGTCGGTTTATTGCTTATTTGACATATAGTTTACAACTGGCTAAATAAACAGATAGCAGCTATAAGCAAATTATGAAAATAAGTACCGAAATGGTAGCCCTGGACAAATTGATGGGAATTGATGTACCATAAATAACCTTTGTTATTGCAGCCCCTGACTTCCCAAAGAAATTTCTATCTAAAATACTTAAGCAACCTAAATGACTAAGGTTTTACTGTTTAATTCACTAATGCAGTCGTAAATTTTATAACACCATATTCAGTATCTACTTGAGTCCCAAAATAATCTGGCACAACTCGCATTGCTGCTCGACTAAATCTACACTCACTAGCAGAATCGGTACTGCACCGACTATATCGGCCCATTATTTTCTATGACTAACGGCGCTCTAATGCTCACATCCTTTTTGCTCATTTATATGTAAGATATACATACACATACATATGTACATGCAAGAATGCATAAATATATTTGTATGTAAATAAAAGTTCACACCATCATATAATTATTTTAAGTATGTATGCATACGTGTGCTTGTATATGTATATACATATATACGATTTTAATGTATTTTAAATTACTAAGTAAATATGTATGTACGGTAGTTGGTAGACTTATGTTACTAATTTACTATGTAAAGTGTTTACGTATTTAAGTTATCATCTTTCGTTTTGTTTTCCTGCCTTCTTATCAAGCTTAAATCAGTGGTCAACTGGGAAGCGACGGCCCATTGCTGCCGCCTGTTCAATCACTGCACTGCTGCATAGCTGTTGCTGCTGCCGCTGATGCATTTACGAAGTTACCTTACTGACGGCCTTGAGCAGGTCGTGATTGCTCTTGTCCAGCGCGCTCATCATGCCCAAATTGCTGCCAATACCAGCGCCCACGCCAACACCCGCGCCGACACCAACACCCATGCCCAAACCCAGTTTCAGGTCATTCTGTCCGATCACTGAATGATGCAAATGTCCTGGATTGTGTGCAATGATGGAGTGATGATCTTGTTGCTGCTGTTGCTGGTGCTGCTGCTGTTGTTGTTGCTGCTGCTGCTGCTGTTGCACCTGTTTATTGGCATTTTGTTGGGCGGATTTCATGGACTCTTGAGCTTTCATCTTTTCTTGTTCCTCGCGATCGCGTCGGGCCTGCAAAAAAAAAATAAGCACAAAATATTTAATTTAAAAACAAATTTATGATTTAATTTTAATTTTAATGCAGTTTTAAGTATAAGCCTAGGGAAATTTAAAGACGAAATAGAACATCTGGAATAAGGAAAATGTATTTCTGTAATTTCGAGCTGGTTCTGGTACTGACACTAGTAATCACTGGTACTTTATTAGTATGCACTTGAATGGATTTGTTAAACAAAATATATAGAGTGCCAGAATGAGATGCTCTATAAATAGAGATATGCATGTCGCTCATTTACTTCAATAGTGTCACAATCCAAAAAATATAAATTTAACCCCCGCTACCCCTTCTTCTATGCTGTGTAAAAATTTCATAGCTGTACCGATTACCAGTATCTCATTAGAACAAAATAGGGGTATTTCTAAGTCTTGCAAATTGCACGGATTGCATGAAATGCAAAAAATCCAAATTCAGATGAGTGCGTAATCCATACAAATAAATGATTAAAACACCGCTGACCCAATTAAACATTGCTGCTTACATTATGCATTGCAATTTAGAAACGAAGACGTATTGTAATGAACGCCCGAAGAGTATTCGGTCACATCACACTTTCGGATTACAAACAAAACCAGAATGTAAAGGACGCTAACCACAAAATAGAGTTGCAAAACTATCTGTAGGGCCACTATCGATAGTTTTCATGTTTCAGGAAAAAACTATCATAGCTCGTTTATAGTTTGCAGCAATACTATCGATAGTGACAAGCGCTACCATCGATGGTACTATTGATAGTCAATGCAATGTTAACAACTGTTACAACGTAACCGGGACGGCATCGCAAAACAAAAATACTAAATATTGAGAATGTAAACACACTTAGGGTAATTTTCTCAATTAACGTTTTACTTTAAAATTCACTTTGTGTTTAAAGATTGCTTTAAAATGTATAGTTCTGTCTAAGTAAAGCGCTTTGTTATCAAATTTTATTTATTTACATATTTACATATCTATTACTGAAGCTTACAATTAAAAACAAAATTATAATAAAGAAAGCTGTGGCTGCTACGGCCTTCATCTTCTTCTTATGATGTATAATAAGTGCTTATTAAAAAAAAAATAAACAAAAATGATATATTTATTCTACACTCTTAAAAGTGCATGTAATGCTACTACTGAAAAGTGTCTATATTTCAATCAGAATCTGTGTAAATATTCTCATAAGATGTTCAAGATTTGATTTTGAACATTAGGTGTTTAAAATATACACATAGATACCACATGAAATGTTTGAAATCGCAAAAATTTTGAAAGTAAAAATACATTTTCTACCAATAATAAACATTAAGTGTTTATACATATATACCCAATTTTAAACATTTTATGTGTAATTTTGCCCTACGCGACATATTGGTATATAAAAGTAAACAGGCAATGTTTAATTTTGCACACTTTAGGAGAGGAAACTGGCTACCTTTCTTTATATGCGTAAATTTAAACAAACATTTTTTAGGGCAAATTTTAAACACTTTAAGCGTAAACTGTGAAATTGTGAACATTGAACATAAAAATAAAATAGATTTGTTGAGCTGTATAAAGTAACATGTTCATAATAATTTTCGATTTATAAAGCAGTTAAAGTCTTCTTTATTTGTTATGAATTTNAATTTTTTAGGGCAAATTTTAAACACTTTAAGCGTAAACTGTGAAATTGTGACATAACATAAAAATAAAATAGATTTGTTGAGCTGTATAAAGTAACATGTTCATAAAAATTTTCGATTTATAAAGCAGTTAAAGTCTTCTTTATTTGTTATGAATTTGGGTGTAAGTGTTTAGAATACAATAAACAAATTTGAAATTTGTTCTACGCCACACATTTGATAAGTAAAAGTAAACAAGCAGGGTTTAATTTAATTAACAGGGTGTGTATATTTGCACACATTTAGAGAGGAAACTGGTTACCTATCTTAATATGCGCAAAATTAAACTAATTTTTTTTAGAGTGTACATGGTTGTTTGAATTTCGTAATATCTATAATTTGTTGATTTTTTGCACCCAAGAAACATTCAGCAAGTTTTGGAGCAATGTTTAAATATAAAGGGAGCTTTTCAATTAAATTTTGCTTGAGAAAACGGCCATTAAAGGATCGATAGTTTAAGCTTTTTTGAAAAAAACTATCACCACTCATCGATAGCGGCAAAAAAATAAAACTATCGATAGTACCATCGATAGTTTGACACCTCTACCACAAAGGGGCCATTCGATGTTTTGAATGAGTGCTCGATTACGTGATGTGCCTTTTCGCCGCTGGGTATAAATAGGTAGCAAGCAGCGAAATTCTGTATCAAATAACGGGTGATTTTTTAAGAGCTTGATAACTTTTTTTTTAAAAAAAACGCATAAAATTTGCAAAATCTCATCGGTTCTTTATTTGAAACGTTAGATTGGTCCATGACATTTACTTTTTGAAGATAATTTCATTTAAATGTTGACCGCGGCTGCGTCTTAGGTGGTCCATTCGGAAAGTCCAATTTTGGGCAACTTTTTCGAGCATTTCGGCCGGAATAGCCCGAATTTCTTCGGAAATGTTGTCTTCCAAAGCTGGAATAGTTGCTGGCTTATTTCTGTAGACTTTAGACTTGACGTAGCCCCACAAAAAATAGTCTAAAGGCGTNAGAAATATTTATGTAGCAATTCCAACAACAAAACAGCTAGCACAGATTCGCATTTATCTTGCTATGGTTTTTTGCAAAATATGTGCATGGGTCCAGACGTTGCATACTTTGCAGCGATGGGAAATGCTTTTTGTCATGTATTTTGTTATTGTGTGTTTGCAAGTTGTGCAATCAGTGCAATCCGTGCTAAGCGCAACGGCTTTGCAAGATTTCAGGAATACCCTACTTACTATGTATTCATTTTTACTATGGGAGAATATGTAAATTCCAGGGGCCGNTTTTGTTATTGTGTGTTTGCAAGTTGTGCAATCAGTGCAATCCGTGCTAAGCGCAACGGCTTTGCAAGATTTCAGGAATACCCCTACTATGTATTCATTTTTACTATGGGAGAATATGTAAATTCCAGGGGCCGTAACGGTTATAAGTTTTATTATAAAAATCACTTTTTAATCGTTATTAACTGAGTTTTATTTTTTGCGCGGAAAAAATCGTTACGTTTTAAGTTTTATTTTTTGCTCGGAAAATAATCGTTATGTTTTAAGTTTTATTTTTTGCTCGGAAAATAATGGTTACGTTTTAAGTTTTATTTTTTGCTCGGAAAATAATGGTTACGTTTTAAGTTTTATTTTTTGCTCGGAAAATAATGGTTACGTTTTAAGTTTTATTTTTTGCTCGGAAAATAATGGTTACGTTTTAAGTTTTATTTTTTGCTCGGAAAATAATGGTTACGTTTTAAGTTTTATTTTTTGCTCGGAAAATAATGGTTACGTTTTAAGTTTTATTTTTTGCTCGGAAAATAATGGTTACGTTTTAAGTTTTATTTTTTGCTCGGAAAATAATGGTTACGTTTTAAGTTTTATTTTTTGCTCGGAAAATAATGGTTACGTTTTAAGTTTTATTTTTTGCTCGGAAAATAATGGTTACGTTTTAAGTTTTATTTTTTGCTCGGAAAATAATGGTTACGTTTTAAGTTTTATTTTTTGCTCGGAAAATAATGGTTACGTTTTAAGTTTTATTTTTTGCTCGGAAAATAATGGTTACGTTTTAAGTTTTATTTTTTGCTCGGAAAATAATGGTTACGTTTTAAGTTTTATTTTTTGCTCGGAAAATAATGGTTACGTTTTAAGTTTTATTTTTTGCTCGGAAAATAATGGTTACGTTTTAAGTTTTATTTTTTGCTCGGAAAATAATGGTTACGTTTTAAGTTTTATTTTTTGCTCGGAAAATAATGGTTACGTTTTAAGTTTTATTTTTTGCTCGGAAAATAATGGTTACGTTTTAAGTTTTATTTTTTGCTCGGAAAATAATGGTTACGTTTTAAGTTTTATTTTTTGCTCGGAAAATAATGGTTACGTTTTAAGTTTTATTTTTTGCTCGGAAAATAATCGTTACGTTTTAAGTTTTATTTTTTACTCGAAAAATAATGGTTACGTTTTAAGTTTTACTTTTTGCTCGGAAAATAATCGTTATTTCTTGAGTTTTATTTTTTGCTCAGAAAATAAAACTTAATTTTTGCGTATGCGTATGCGCTTTTTCTTTAGAAATGTGTGGCGTTAAAGGTTCAATGCAGCCGCCCCCTGTCTATTCACGCATGCGCAT